TACCCCCATAGATCCAGGAGACTCCTCAGCGAGTCTCTGTGTATACCAACAAACTCTCTGCAGCTAAGGGGTAACCACTCCTCTTCATTTTCTTTATAGTGTGTTCCTGTGTGCACCGGGAGTAACTAACTCTTGGTTGTTACACCTGCAGCTTTCTAGTGTTTTGTCAATACAATATTTGCTGACCTTCGCAATGTCTGCATCATTGTCTACCTCAATAATGTCCTGGTATTCTCTGACAACCCCAAGCAGCATGTAGCACATGTCCGGACAGCAGTGCATTGATGTTTTGTTGGGGTTGGGCTTGCAACAACATGTTGACTTGTTCAATGTGTAAAAGTAAAAAAACATAACTGGGGGTCCCCACTTGTCTGTGCATTTACCTCTTCCCAGCTGAGTATCGGATCTCAACCTCCAACTACCCACACCATAGTATTTGAAATTGTATATAAAAGGTAAATGTAATAAACCCTGGTCCGAACAGTTGTCAAGGGTGGTCCGCTTGTTAAGCTGTCAACCCTTCTCCAGACTGGCAGAGTCAAGTGCCCGGCCTGGTTAAAGGTATTCAAAGAAGAAGATTTGTATTGATACTAGCAACAGAGGTTCCACACCATCTGCTGTGCTAAGTACTCCCTTTGACACTGGGGGCGGTGTAATGTTTGATTTGATCTCTCTAGTACCCCATCCTGAGGAGCTTGCCTGCAGGATTGGGGCACACAATTTGTTTCTGTGGGCTAGCAAAAGCTCAACACCCAACTGGCACCAAATTTTTACTGTTCAAAAGACCCTGTGGTCCGGGTTTGCACAAAGTGAGAAAGAGTGAGTCCTAATGTAACAACCAAAGTTTTGATACTCTGGCAGACAACTCGGACAAGCAAGAGTGAGGAAGTGGGAGTGGGTAGACCCCTTAGGACAGGACCAGGTTAGTTGTGAGTAAACAACATGCATGCAATACACATGCAAGATAAGCTTATTTTACAGTCAAGGAGTTTCTGCATGGTTTACTTGGCTGCAGAAATGACAACTGGCAAGATGCGCACTTTGGAGGCCTTAAGAGAATTACCTGATCTTGGAAAAAAAGGACACAAACACCAGATTGATGATGACAGTGTCATGGATATTGGCTGCATACTAGATGGCTCAAATTTGCTAGATATCAGTCACACTGGAGGTGAGTTTGAAGCACTCAGCCGTAAGTTGAATAGAAATATGTGGCAAGAGTATATACTATTTTCACCACAATTTTGTTCCTGTCTTTTTGACCTTTAAATAAAGCCGCTATTGCTATAAAGCTTGACAACCAGATCATCAAGACCATCAAGACAAAGTGCTGCAATGCCTGCATGCATTCAATGAGCAGCTCCCAGCTCTGGTATCCATGTACATGAACTGTTACAGCTGTAGTAAGATGAGCACCGGAGGAATTGTGGCTAATAAAGGGGATCATGAGTTCCATGCAACAACAGATCCTAGTTTAAACATCAAGATCAATGTGGTTGATATCTTTAGTGAGTGCACGCCCACATCATACAAACAGCGTATTAACCTCACAGATGTTCAAATTTGCCACCTCCACATTCTCCCACAGGACTCATTTGTTACATGCACATTGGTCCATCAGGGAATTATGCCATGCTCACCAATCTCCCTCACTGTTGGCATAAAGATGGATGCCCTCAAATTATATTGCATTGCCCACCTCCAGAATCCCCACTTTTCCATACACACCTATGTCAAGACAATGTCAGATCTACAAGGGGTATTACCACCATGTAAAATTAGATAGGATAATCAGTTTATTGTCATTTATACAGGTTCAGTATAAGAGATGCTACAAAACAAATATGGGGTATATTTGACAAAACTGGAATCTTTCTTTTACTCTGCCATTATAGGTTTTCCCTGCTGCTTGTTAATATGGTTCAGAGTGAGAACTATAAGTATCTTTTTTTGCACTATCTATTCTAACTATTCTTCACGCAGTGCTAAATACCCACTGGCCATTGTGGAGAAATTGATAGATGTATATGGAATTGATCAGACATAAATTCAAGATGACCTTGGTAGATAGTGCCCTCAGCAAAGAAGTCCATGAACTCCATCACACTTGCCTTGTGGGTGCCTTCCATGGTCACACTCACAGGTGTCTCTGTCAACTGGATCACCTGGCAACATATGTCAAAAGTCTGTGAGCGTTTTCCACCACAAGCAAGCTATTGACTCTTACTACAAGCATAATGACACCCTTGAGGTGTATGCAAATCTATGTAAGTGTACCACAATCTTAGATGTGCACAAGTTAATCTGACTGTTCCCTAGCCTTATTTCTTTACAATAGCTACAAGCAAACACTAGATATCATGACAAGTACACTGGCCAACCTAGCGGGGGTAATGTGGGATCTCAACATGGCCAATAAAGCTACATTCAATAAGCTACAAGAAGAGAAGATTTACCTGAACGGCTTATGCAATGTGGAGAAGACCCTGAAGATAGAATACTGGCAGAAGCTTGGTGACTAGTGAGTATGTAAGATATTATTGCTGTATGTGGCACTGAAAGTGTTCCCTTCTAGACAAGAGCTCACCATAGCAACTAATGTGTGTATTTACAAAACACCTCAACAATACAAAGAGATTCAAGCAGGACAGTTGAGACTGCATGCCATCATAAGCTGGAAAAGTATGAGAAAGACCTCAAAACAGTGCAAGAACTCAAAATCAAACTCAATATTGTACAAT